TTGCAACATGGCAATTGGAGCATAAGCTCTGTGGGCTGCCCATGCCATAACAACTGAAATGTAAAATTTCTGGGAGGTCTGTGATGGACTTCGATGGTTGCAAAGAACTATTTTTGGTATATGGAACATTTACAGCACATTGCGACCCAGGTTTTGGAATCCTTATGTTTTATTGACAGGTTCATGTAAGGCCACAGCCAGCTTCTTAATCAGAGCTGACCAGGCACTATCCCTTTTCTCCACCAGCCAGTAAGCTTAAATGAAGTTTCTCAGCTGCCAGCTCTGCTCTGAGATTAGCGAGAGGAGTAACACTGCAGGATGTTTTGACCTTTCAGGCATAAGGTATGCCATCCACTTCTGGGGAAGCAGAGTGACAGAGGCAGCAGGGCTGCACCATGGGAGTAGAACACTCAGGGTTAGGTCCTACAAGCACGTCTGGCAGCTCTTCAGTCAGAAAGGGAAAGCACTGAGTTGCAAGAATAGGCTGCCTTTTTGGACAGAGAAAGAGCTGATTTCAGCTGTTTCAACAGGGAGTCCTGGGCTCTGAACCAAGGGAATGGACTAGTTTTGGCTCTCGTCCAGTCTTTGGGGACAGGTCACTGCCACCTGTACAATGGCTGAGACCTGCCTTTCATGTTCCTACTCTGGACAGAGAGTCTTGTGGTGGTCACAGCATGGTGGTCCTGTACAGCTGGACACTGAGATCCCTCTGGAAGGGCATTGGATATACTTTTACAAACAAACTTAAAGCTCACACAGGGACTGCATAGTTTCAGCACTGGTAATGCAGAGAAACATAGTTAAAGAATTACTCAAAGCTGTATAATAATAAAAATAAGCTGTGGAAATACTTTGTCAAAAATACTCAGCAAGGTATTTTAAAGAGCAAAATGGCTATTTAAACCCACCAGGCCTCTTTCTGTTTCTCCACAGAGCAGGTATCTAAGGTTCCTGTACCGGATCCTCTGCTGTGAAGACAGGCTGAGAGAATTAGAGTTCTTCAGCCTGGAGAAGAGAGGCTCTTGGGACACCTTATAGCACCTTCCAGCACCTGAAGGGGCTGCAGGAAATATGGGGGGGGGTGGATTTTTACAAGGGCAGGCAGTGATAAGACAAGGGGGAATGGTTTTACGCCACCTGGTCTAGTGGGAGGTGTCCCTGCCCATGCAGGGGGTTGGAAGTAGGTGATCTTTAAGGTCCTTTCCCACCCAAAATGTTCTGTGACTCTGTGATTTAGTGAATCCTCACCTCGCTCTTGCTCTGCTGCTGCTGGGCTGCACAGCCGGCCGTGAAGCAGCAAACCGCGGGACAGAGTCATCACATCCTTGTGGTTAATGATGGAGAGAAACCCCGAGAGGCGAGTGACCTGCTCGTTAACCGCGGAGCGCTGAAATACCTGACATAACCCGTTCCAGCCTCCCGGGGCAGGATTGCTGGTGGAAAAATCCCACCTTGCCTCGCCAGCCAGAAGCCTCGCAAGGCGCAGGGCGCACTTACGACTGGAAGGATAGGGCGATTCGTTTTCTTTTTTTAAATTTTAATTATTTTGCCTTCGGCCGGCTCCCCTCTGCGGGCCCCGGATCCCGCCCCGCACAAGCTCGGCCCTCCCTCCCCCCGCACA